GAAATCTTGAAAAGCAACAAATACTTTTGTTCCACTTGACACCTTTTAATTTGTTGCAGGATAAAGAGCAGCATGCCATGAGACTGGTCACAGAAGCAGCAGAGATTGTTGGCATCGGAAACTCAAGTCCTGCTGCTGAGATTTTCCGGACCCTCGTTGGCACTTTCAAATCTAATGTAGAAGACTTCAGGTTGCGGGCAGAACAAAGGCAGAAAGACCTGGTTTCGATGGTCCATGTGTACAGATTTTGTGAACAGGTTTGTAGATTCATTTCTCTAGCGATTTAACTTTCTGCTTGTTTTTTTCTCTCTTTGGCCCCCTGCAAAACTGTTACCATGTTTTCTATTTGCAGGCAACAGCCTGGGCCAAAGAATGCAGTAAATTTCTGATGCAGGTAGAAGAGGGTTGTTGTTCTGCTCAGGCTCTAAACACACTCCAAATGCACAAGGAGAGATTAGCTGGTGAGTTTTCTGCCCAGCAGTTCCAGGCTCTGAGAGTGAAGGCGTCCGCCATGGGAGCAGAGGCCTCTGGGATGCTGAGAGTATGGAATGCAGCCTGGGTTCAGAGCGAAGAAGTCAAGCAGCGCTTTGAGGAGTTCCAGAAAAAGTATAAAGGAGTAGATAAGAACCAGGCCCAGTCGACCACAGCTGCAAACACTCCAGGGGAGCACGAAGAAATGGAGAGGGAGGGGAAAAGAAATGAGCTGGGCGAAGCTAAGAGCTCACAGAGCTCTCACGCAGAGGGAGTCTGTGCTGCAAATTGTCAAACAAACATCAGCTCTGACTCTGATTTTAAAATTGAGAAAGACTCTCCTGAAACACAATCTAAAAACTCAAACAATACTCCTGTTTTGGCACCAACAGAAAGCAAAAGCAAGCCAAAAGAGCACCACAGGGTGGCAGATTTGAGCGGAAAAGTCTCTGAAAAAAAGGAGGATTTTCTTTCAAGGCAAACTTTGGGTCGGTCTCTGAGCGAGGGCTCACATGAGATGAGCATCTCTGGCTTTTTGCCTCTAAGTCACAAACACTGTCATAGCAGGAAACACTCCCTGGATCAAAATCTGCAGCCCACCCAAAAGCTGCACATTTTCCATCACGAGGACTCACAGACCGAGAACCTGAGCTGCGAAGAGAAAGAAAACTGTAATCATGGGGAGGGAAAAGACAGCACCATCTCCACCCTGAGCCCTGAGGACTTAAAAACTGCAGAGACATTACTCACTCCAGCAGAAAACAGTGACAGCAAAACTTTGTAAGTAATCCTCCCATAATCTGTTTCTAAATGGCAAACAGCAAATTTAATTTCATGCTCTCATATTTAGTAAATTATTATGGAGGAGCTCCTTTATTTCAGTAACAGTTCACCAAACCAAACACATCATGTAAGGTAATTACACACAGACGGATGTTTTCAAGCCTTTATTTCTGTTAATAGAAATTCTTCTGCTGACAGTCAACAGAAATATGGCATTTAAATTAGGAAATTACTCCTGAACCTTAAAAAACAAAACATTTTAATACAGAGATCAATCAATAATCTGGCATTCAGCAAAAAAAAAAAAAAAAAAGATTGGGTTCATCCTAACTGACCTGAAACCGAATCAGTTGAGTAGGATAAAATCTTAAAGTTGTAGGGAACTCATATCTAAATTTAAAATGTATTCTTTTTTGTCTAAAAATTTTGAAATTTCTATTTAAAAAAAATTCTAGGTTGCAGGCCAATTAGTTATACGTCAGCTTGTACACCTAAATTCAGCCAATCATATATCAATGGTCATCTGTCAATCAAATTTTTTCGGTCATAGCATCTTGATTCGTATGTCGCAGCTAATATACGCAACGGTTGAAATAAGAAATAAAGAAATTGCTTTACCATTGAGTTCCATCCCAGTGTTCACGGGGATGGACGTCTGTGTCTTCAGCAGGCGTAGAGCTAACAGAACTGGCAGCGTTGAGAGGCAGGGCTCAAACATGTACGGCTGTAAGCCTCCTACACCAAACCGCCCTGGCGTCCTCTTCCACAACATCTTCGTCCCTGCTTTCCTCCTCTAAATAAAAATGAATGATGGAGGAGACTCATCCACGACCTCCGACACTAAACTCTCCTCTTCTTGCATGTTTCCTCTGTCCATAGTGTTCCTTGACAGTGTTGTCGCCAATTTAGTGCTACTTGGTCCCAATGTCATTTCCTATTGGGAACCTACTAGCACTAAGTTGCTAACTGGTTGGCAAGATGCTTCTGATAGACCGGCCACAATAAAACTTGCTTGCGAACCTTCCTACAGAACAATCCCGCCCTCTTGATAATCAACCAATCACATTCACTTTATTCAGTCGTGTAAGGTTGTGCACCACTCAGAAGAATTCGGAAATGCAACGGTTTGAACAGCCGCTTCCCTACGACTTTAAACAATGAGAAATAACAATGACAAGCATGTATTATTAGTTTTAGATGTAAAATAACCAGTTTCTTTTTAACCACTTGGATTAAAAATAAAAGAAAGGAGTGTTGTTAACCAATCCCAATTCAAAAAGATCAACCACTTTACATTTTTCATTTCCTTCTCTATGAACAGGAAAGTCCGGAAGATTCTTGAGGAACTGCTGTCCACTGAGCGGGAGTATGTCAGAGCTCTGGGATATGTCCGAGAGCACTACTTCCCAGAGCTGGAGAGAGCAGACGTCCCCCAGGACCTCCGGGGCCAGAGGGGCAGCATTTTTGGGAACTTGGAAAAACTCCACGACTTTCACCGTCACTATTTCTTGGATGAGCTGGAGAGCTGCGTGAAGGAACCCTTCAGAGTGGGACGCTGCTTTTTACGTCATGTAAGCTTCTTAAATCCAGTTTTTTATGTGCCCAAACAGGACTGCGTACCCTTCATCTAAGACACCTCTAGTTTGCCAAATTTGTCTCTGTGTAAAGTCACGATTTCCACTTTTGACCTTTAATTGGATAATTAGCCATAAGCAAACCCCTCCAGATGTTTTGTAGCTAGTCACCGAGGATATGTCAGTAGCTTCCAACAACGTCTTTCTTTAATAGCTTAAGTGTTCAGCTTTTTAAAAAGGGTGGGAGGATGTGTTTGACTCATAGAAGTGTGACCTGTTTGACTTTTACATCTAGACATAAATGGTTATATAGATGATGAGGATTAATGGTGTTTATTTCTTCTTTCATTTCAGAGAGAGAGTTTTGCTTTGTATGCCCTTTACAGCAAAAATAAACCCCAGTCGGACCATCTTCTTAGCAGTCATGGAAAAACCTTCTTTAAGGTGAGGGCCTCTTTGTTGTCATACATGTCAAATAAGGCTCCTTAAAATAATTTGGTTTAAATTTTCCAGGGTTAGTAAAAAAGCACCTAACATTTCTCTGTATACTTGTGAAATTTGCCTCCATTAGTAGTTTCATGTTTTAACCAGAAATTGCAGCTAAATTTGTTATGTTTTCTGTCATTTTCTGAAACAAAGTACTGCATTATTTTAGAATCTAAGGAAAATAATGTCTAAGGTTTTTTTTAGAAATGCATAAATACCAGTTGTAGTTTCGATTTGTATTCAGTCAAAAATGGTCAATACAGCCCCATATCTTTTAGCACTATAGCTCTTCAGCTCAGTCAGAATGGATGGAAAGTACATGTGAATTTGTTGACCTCTAGAAGGTGAAGTCTGTCCTATTTTTAGGTTTTCTTCTCAGATTGCCCATATTGGGCTTCGTTTTCCCATCAAATGTTACCTGCTCATGAAAAGCATCCCACCAGTATTTGTCACCTATGGTGTTGCTGGTTTGGGGAGTGTTAGTCCTCCTCAACACAAACATGTTTGCATATTGCCCATAATTCCCAAAAAGTAAAAAAAAACAAAAAAACAAAAAAAAAAGAAACAAAATCCAGTGGATTGTTTTTTTGTTTTGTTTTTTTTTTGGTAAGACTATGACCTGATTGACTGAGAATTTTCACCAGCATTGCCAGCATTCTTGACGACCATGTCTTTCCAGCTTAGCAATTCTGCCATTCTGGCTTGGTTTCTGGTTGATCGATTGAACAGAACTTTGCTAGGGGTCTAACGCATTGGACGGACTCCAGTAGTCATTTGCACAAACTGTACTTGGGTGTATCAGAGTTAAGGGTGCTGAATGCAAATGGAGACAAACCTTTTCCTAAATAGTCCCTTTTTATAGACTGGTGTAGAGTAGTTCTTTTATGTGCTACGTTTTGATAATTTAGCACTGGAAATTGTGAAATCTTTAAACTCCAAGGTTGTATTGTGACAAAAGTAAAAAGATATCATGGGATACAAGAACTTTTTGTAAGAAGCTATGTATAAAAGCATATATATATTTTTTTTCGTCAGTTTGAACTTTTTCATCCTCATAATTTTACATCGAATGATAGATTCTCAGTTTCTTTTCCAAAGTGTAACTTCATTGTCTTTAAATTTCAACCCAACAATTCAACATTTAAAACCACATCTGTACTCTAAACCCCATTCCCTCCAACATCAGCATTTGTGCTTTTTCATTCAGCAAAAGCAGCTGCAGCTGGGGGATAAAATGGACTTATGGTCCTACTTGCTGAAGCCTGTGCAGCGCATCAGTAAGTACAGTTTGCTGCTGCAGGACGTGATGCAGGAGTGTGGACCGGATCAGACCAGAGAGGTCACCGAGATCAAGGCAGCTCTGGAAGTCATCCACTTCCAGCTTCGCCATGGCAACAACCTGCTGGCCATGGACGCTATTCGCCAGTGTGATGTAAGCAAGGACTCAATAGTTCTTAAATTTTGTGTTTAATTTCATGAAAGATACAATTTGTGTTATTTATTTACATTTAAAAATGTATACAGCTACAGTAATGCAGGAACAAGCAGATGCAGATTTCAGGCGCTGATGTTTTATGTGGTGTTTGAAAGTTTTCCTGGTCTCTGTGAGCTATTGACAGTAACATTACACACTGATTCAGATGTAGAAGGAGGCATTACTGAAAATACAAAAAATGTATCTTTTTTGTGGTTGGTAATCCTGACAGATATGGAGGGGATTGGATTTAGAAAAAGTAGGAGATCATCGATCTATTTTTTCTTTTCTTTGACCTTTGCTTTTTGAGGCTCCATTATCTGGTGAGCATTACGAGGAGGAATGGAGCTGGGTTTACAGATATGCAGAGTTCTTACACAAACAGATGGTTTCAGCTAAAGCTGATAAGAAACATCTGGAGTCTTATATTGACTTCTGTCAGTGTTAGAAGCAATATATCATATTTATCAAAATCTGAAGAGTCAAAAAAAAGAAATTTCTTTATGAAAAAATGGTTTCTATTGTAAATAATCACCTCTTCTCTTGTGCGTCTACAGGTGAATCTGAAAGAACAGGGTCAGCTGATACGCCAGGATGAATTCATGGTAACATTCAGGAAGAAGAAATGTCTGCGACACATTTTCCTCTTTCAAGACCTCATTCTCTTCAGCAAGACAAAAAAGACGGACGTGGGAAATGACACATATGTCTACAAACAGTCCTTTAAGGTAGTCATTTGGCATATGTATTCACCCATCATTCTTGCAGAATTTCTCATATGTGTCTAAAGCCCCATTTCCACAACCCTTTTGAAACTGTGCCACAATCGGTCTGAGCATGGTAAAAACAGAGATAACTGTTGAGGGTAAATGGCATGCTAAACTGAACCGTACCAGACACCACTGAACCACGTTAAACTGGTAATAGCTTATTAGTAATAATAGTAATAGTAATAGTACCGTAGATCGTCAGGAGGCGAGGAACCATGCTAGCGTGATGTGTAAACAGTCGTAAGGAACCAAGCTTGGCACGGTCAACTGATCCAAGCTTGATCCGAACTCGGCACGGATCGGTTTCAGACAAGTAGTGTAAATGGGGCTTAAGATTTGGAAACACTTCTGTATAACACATCCTGAGAAGGACTTCACTCAAATCAATGAAACATTTAATTTAAGAGGATAAAATAATTAACCCTGAAGTGTCACTTGAACAACTACCCTTCCTAATTTTATCATAATGATAAGATTCTTGTCTGATAAACAAAACTTATCCTTCATCAATTTTCAGTTTTTGTTGTCCTTCTGTTCCATCTAGACATCTGATATCGGAATGACGCAGAACAGTGGGGACAGCGGCTTGTGTTTTGAGATCTGGTTCAGAAAGAGGAAAAGCCAGGACACATACACACTGCAAGCTGCTAGTCGGGAAGTGAAAGAGGCCTGGACCAAAGACCTGGAGCGGATCCTGTGGGAGCAGGCCATACACAACAGGGGTACAAAGGAAACACAAATATAACACACATGGTCAGAAAGAGATCCCAGCCAGAAACATGTGGCAATTATTTTAATAAGGGCTGCTGTATTTCCTTCATTTCCTTGCACCCTTGGTAAATATCTACAGTAATGGATAAAATAAATGAAAATTTCTGCAGGTTCCTAAAAACGTAGGAAAAAGTCACAGTTTTATTCAAAACCTTACATAAGTGCTGAAAGATGTAGTTTTTATATTAGTCGACTCTAACCCCTTAATCAATCAATTACTATATACAGCGGGGACTATATAGTGGAGTTTATAGCGAACTCAGTTAACTGACTGTTTGGACAGATTATCACTACTTTTCGCTCCTAGTTGGTCATGCAACTCCGCCTCCCCGCACAGTTCCTGCACCATCTTGGTTATTTGTCGCCACTGTCACAGTGAATCCCATGATGCTTGCTAGGAGAGCTCTCGCAAAGCAATCTGGGATATATCTGCTCATCTAGTGACCGAGGATGATAGCTACTTTTCAAGCTACATGGTGGAAAATTTGGAGTCCACTGCTTTTCCATCCACTAGATGTTTGGACACTCATTTAAAATGGCATAACAACTATATAACATGGCATAACAATGTATATAATGATTAGGGTGGATGTTCGACACAGGTGTCAGAAAGGGGAATATTTGACTTCTCCCTACAGTAGATTATTCCTAAGCTCACCTCCGTATAGCTTATCCTGGAGTTGTTCTGATAGGCTGACATGGTGTGTTGGTTTGACTTCAGACATAACCCATTATTACTATACTATATTACTAAATGGTTTAGTCCACCAGCATTTTTATACACAATCATCTTGAGGGAGTTCGAGATACAATGCACTCCTCTGACAGTTCCAGTTAAATTCACACTAGAGTTGACGATAGGTCCTCCCTGGCTTAGTGACAGGAGGAGTTTGAAACTAATTCTGTGTGTCCGTCCGTCCATCCATCCATCCATCCATCCATCCATCCATCCATCCATCCATCCATCCATC